TGTGAGACGGACAGCTCAGCCTAGGCTGTCACGTTCTCTCGTCCTGCCACACCTCTGCTCTCTAACCCCMCCTCCCCTACCTACTTTGATGCATTTTTCAAATTTCGCCTTGGGGYGGAGTTATCTTTTCACAGGGGGGTAAGATACACTTTAAAAGCAAGTGAGCAAACCAATGGGTGTAATATATTTGACTCAAGAAAAGTGAATAGTAGGACTGAGGATCTGTCAACATTTTGACTGAAACATCACTTATCATAAACTCAAGTTACCATAGCACGTGACCCAATGTAACAGTCTCATTTGTGAGTGTTTCCAGGGAGCTGCCATATTTTCAAATAAACTGGCACACACCTTTAAAAACGTAGGCTGTGTCTAAATTCACCTAGGATATGGCGATTTGATATGATTTTCGTTACAGAGCTCACAATACAACACGATTCTTGATGCAGTACAGTTCAATTAGATTTTGATATATATTACTTTATACTTATGCCATCGACTCAACAAAGCAAGCAACATATATTAACATTTATTATTATAAATTAATAATTATAAAAAACAAAATATGCCCCAAAGTCTGCTTTTAAGGACAGCTCTGAACAGGAATCACGTGTCATYACTGCCTCTTTAGGTTGGGGGCAGGGAGTGTATCAATGTCAAAAGGAAAATAATTGATACAATGTCAATGTAAATCRTAACAGTATATCAATTTTTATGCACAACCTGATAAAAAACAGACAACTTTCTCAAATAAATCAAGCATTAATAACCACTGAAATAGGAATTATGCTTGATAAAGTTGCACAGAAGAACTGAATCCATGCAAACTGCGTGGAAACAAAGTATATGTAYGTTCTGTGGCTGGCTGAGCAGATAAACAAAACACAAGAATTCTGAATTTGTGGTAAAGCTGGGCTGAAAAAACTAATTGGATGAGAGAAGGAATGTCTTCAAGAATCAAGAGTCCCATTGCCTTTGATTGAACTTGGCAGGATTACCATGACTAGCGTAATGACACTGCTGCTGTCAGCCGATAAATAAGGCTATAATTCGGACAACACTTTGCTTCTTATGTTACACTTAGTAAGGTAGCGGCTTCCAATTCTTTGTATCATGGGTGCAGTTACAGGCAATTAGTGCTCTTTTGCAGTCGCCTTGGCAACATGCACAGTCTGGTGATACAGCATGTGGCCTGCGATTACCAGGGCCAAACAGCTATCAAGATATTGCTCTTTTTGAGCAATCTCCCATTATTATGTGGAAACCACTGTTTTTCTACAGTCACCTATTTATTGGGTTTTGCTTCGGCCTCTTTAATGGACATTCACATTCAGGTTCAGGGATTATTCTGTGTCCCTGGGCTAGTTTGTAGCTCATAAATGTTTTTCATGCGTTTAGAGGGAAAAAAATAAAATAAATAAAATAAATTTCCACATGTGTGTGATGTGTAACTGTGAGCACACACAGACCCCCATCTAAGTGTCCACAGGAAAAGGTCTTTGTGTATTCTAGTGTTGGAATTGTGGGTGTAGAGTTGGATTACCTTCTAGGATAGCAGTGGGAGAGTTTGTACAATGAAGGGTGGATGGGATCATCCTCCTGTCTTTACTATTCCTCTCTCTATATCCATGTCTGCATGGACCTGATTTACCCTCATTGCTTCTGTCAGACAGTGGTTATATCTTCCTTTATACACCACCTTTACTCTTCTCTTCCGTGCACAAACTCAGAGTTATGTACTGTAAAAGTAAAACTTTCTAAAGTAACACACACACACACACACACACACACACACACACACACACACACACACACACACACACACACACAC